CCCCAAAACCCCAAAACCCCAAAACCCCGTAATGCAGAATATGTCAAATAAAAAGGATTAGGTCCGAGATGTATCAGTTAAATATTTAATATGTAAAATTTTATAGTTAATACAAATATGAACGTAATCTCAACGATCCTTAACCTTCACTATCGAGGGAATATCCCACTATTCAGCCGATTAAAGTGAAATTTTTTGAGAGTGAAAAGTTTGGATATACTATTAAAAGACAAATTTATTAGGTTTTAGTTTAAAAATCAATATCTGTGTTAGGAATAAGGTATAGTTTTGTAGCTATACTATGTAGAGATGTAGTTATTTAATAATGAGAATGCGAGGTACTAAATATCAGGGTCTTTATTGAATAGGGAAACCTTCGGAGTCCCTGACTATTTAGTACCAACAGACATGAGAAGTATTTGATTATGAACATATTACACTATGTTTGACTGCCTTTTTAACCTTACATAGTCATCATATTTTCTTCAGATTAATCACTTAAACTATGAAATTTTCATAATCTTCAGTAATTTCCAAAAATATTCAGAAACTCATAAAAAATCAGGAAAATGATAACTACATCTGATAAATTAGTCACAAAAAGACACTTTTGTGACAAATTATAGCGGATTCATGGTCACTAAGATACGATTATCCTCAGCACACATCAAACTCTTAATTTTCAATAATTTCATTCCAATTCGCCCCTTCTTATCGATTAATAAATTAATATATTAAATTAAATCATTATTTTGAGAAGTATTAGATCCCATATATATATTTACCAGCTATGAAATCGCAAAAGCTACAAAGTTCGGCCCAGAAGACATCGCCATTATCATAAAAAACAGGAGCCTCGAAATTGACTCCGCAGTAAAAGAGACAAAAGAAAATTGAAGTCAAGACTGAAGATGAAGAGATAGATCACCATGAAATCTAAGAGTAAGTGAATTCCTAATCATGATGATGATTGTTCGTCCGAATGATGCTAATCTCTATCATAGATTGCAAGAATATTTCCAAGAATAGGAAAGTTAAACTATAACTGACAAGGAATTCTATAAGGCAATGCAAAAACTTAAAGAAAGAGGAAATAATGCTGTGCCTCCAAAGAAATCCGCATCTGCTTATATTATTTTTGGAAAAGAGGTATTACTTTTAAGCGTGTGAAACCATCTTTAAATTAAATTATAATAGAAAAGGGCGGAAATACTCAAACGTAATCCAACTGCCAAGGTTACTGAGGTCGTAAAAGAGATTGCTTAAAGCTGGGGTAAGCTTGGGAAAGAGGAAAAGTAGAAATACAAGGAAGCAGCAAAGAAAGGTAAGATTCTGTCATGATAAGATAGCATCATGGAATCACCCATTTCACCCATTGATTTTGCTTTGATATTAATTTGATTTTCAGATAAGGAAAGATATGAGAAAGAATTAAGATCACTTGAATCATTCTCCGAGAAGCTAAAGAAGCCCAAGAAGTGTTTATCTGCTTATATGATCTTTGTGAAAGAGGTAAGAATATTTTAATTCTGACGATTAAATTAACAATTCTGAGTAGACAAGACCATTAATTGTAGAAGAGCACCAGGAAATGGGAGCACTTCAAGTTATGCAAGAGGTGGGAAAATAATGGTAGGCACTTACAGAGGAACAAAAAAGCTATTTCAAAGAGAAAGCAGATAAGGATAAGATGAGATATCTGAATGAATAGAGGGCCTTCTACGATGAAGTAGAAAAGATCGGTTAAAAACATGGTACTGTGACAACTAAAGATGGATAAATTGCAGTAGCAGCATAACAAACTCCAAACGATTAATTCAATAAGCAGAAGCCAAGACTGAATAACAAAGGCAACGAGAATTCTAGTTCATAGCAATCATAACTACAGAAAAGAAAACTAATTGTGAAATTAAGCAATATAAATCAAGGAGAGTCTCCTTAAAAGCGAATAAAGAACGAGGAATTCAAAGTAGGCAACAATAATGGAATGATAGACTAGCAAAATTCAAACAAAAATATGATACCTATTGGATAGTAAAATACAGAAAATAAGCCAAAAAAACCACTCTCTGCATATATCTACTTCAGCCAGGAATTCAGAGAAATTATCAGACAAAAATTCCCAACCATGACCGTTGCTTAAGTTATGAAAGCTGTCAGTCATAGATGGTCAAAATTAACAAAAGAATAAAAGCAGCCTTTTGAATAAATTGCAAACGAGGATAAACTAAGATATGACAGAGAAATTTATGATTGTAGAAAGGGATTATTCTAGGGAAGGTCTTTAACTCCATCTATTAGAATTCAATCAAATAATGATGCTGTTAGCTCTGCCTTAGAAATATCTGAAGATCTTTATGAGTTCTTGCAAGTAGCGCCGAAATAAGAAAATGACGAAAATGGTGACGATTAATTTGAAAATTATGACGAGAACTTAGAAGATCAAGAATATGAGGATCAAGTTAATAACAACATGGAAAACATTGAAGAGCAGAACAACTTACAGTCTAACAATCTGAAAGTGGTGATTGAAAATTTTGATGAAGTCCAAATGAGAAATAGAAAAGATAGTCTAATAAACCCCTTGCTCTAAGGAATTAAATTTGAAAGTGAAGACCATGTGAATGATATGCAAAACAATATGCAAAGCATGCCAGGAATGAACATGTCAAACAACAATGACATGAATACTATTGGAAGTACAGTTAGCTTTGGCTAAGCTTCCATGATGTAAATCCCTCACAACTAGCATTTGCAAGCATGCCTATCACCCTTTGGCTTCAATGACGGAGGTCAGAGAAATTACATGCTATAAAATGAACTTGCCAAAAGAGAGAATGAGAGAAAAACTAGCATGAACTTTAACTATGGAACAGGTTTCTTCACCTAATAGAGTCCTGCTATGAATCCCATAATGACCTCAAGCATGTTTAATATGCCATTCTTGGGAGGACTTGGAGGTTTACAAGACGAACAGAACTAATTAGGATATTTAATGAGTAGTCCCTTCTAACTACCACCCAGTAATCATCAATTATAGTCATCTGCTACATTTGGCAGACCATCTGGATAAGGGAATCAATTAAGAATTCCTGGCTCATCCCCCTAATTAGGAGCGATGGCTCCACCTAACTAAATGATGATGAATCCTAATAGCTACTTGGGAAGTTCAAATAATGAATATGCTTCCACTCTTTCACCATTTTTGGCACCTTAACCTCCTTAACAATTCATGATGTCTAATCAGCAATTTTAGAGTCAAGGAATGAACGGATATGGCCAAGGATCGGCTAATAATTCAGCTAGCACGCAAAGCAGCATGAATTAGCAAATTAATCAATAAGGATTGTTTAGATGATTTATTTTGAATTCTCTTGGTTTAATCTTTTTAAATTAATTAATCTTTTTTATGTCTTTTTTTTAATGTAAATATATCATCTTGGGGTTTTGGGGTTTTGGGGTTTTGGGG